TCAACTATAATGAATAAAAATTTTAAAATGAAAAAAAATAAAATAAAAGAACACAAGCTCCTCAGGAAAGACTCCAAGGATCTGAATGTTTTGGCTCTAACTTCTATTCTGCTCAATCTTCTCTATCCATATTGACCTTCATTGAGATTCTTTGCAAATTCTGTTTTTTCTAACTGGAAGATTGTCCCATAGCACTGCTCTTTTTGTAACTTACTCTTTTTGATTCTTCAGATGTCACATAAATATTAGATCCATGCCCTATTGGTTTGGCCTTCAGAGTGCAGGGTCCCAGGTTCGATTCAGGTCAAGGGCACATGCCCAGGTTGTGGGCATGTGGGAGGCAGCCAATTAGTGATCCTTTCTCATTATTGATGTTTCAACCTCTTTTTCTCTCCCTCTCTCTTCCTCTCTGAAATCAATAAAAATATATTTAAAAATATTACCTCCATGGAGAAATCTGCCCTATTATACACTTCCCCAGCCATTATTCTATATGACTTTACTATACTAGTTGCCTTTTTATTTATTACTTTTAACTCTGTAGTCTGAGTCTAGGCACCACAAATCTTTGCTCACTACTCTTTATCCATTGTTGTCACAGTGCCTTAAATATAGGAGACTCCTAATCAATAGCAAATAAATAAATGAGTAAAAGAGAAGGATATATAGTACAGTGAAAGAGTCATGAAGGGATGCAAAGCCAGGATTTTTTTCTTCACACTGTTCTTTAAGATTAACCATGGTTAGAGAATTCATCAATTGATGAAAATGTTATTGTTCACTTACTTTGTGCAAGGCTATGAGGAATACCAAGATCTGTATATTATAATTCCTTCCTAATTGGAGTTTATAATATGGTTTTTGTATGGAAGTTTGTGTAGGGAAATAATACAAACTACAAACTTAGATAATATGAGAGCTAAAAAGATGATATGACGGTGTGAGAGCTGCCACAGTGCAGAATATAGATGTTAAATATTTTACCCAAAAGATTGGTATTTTAGAAATTCAGAGGAAGGAAAAATCCCTTTGAGCTGGTAGGAAGCTTTCGTGGAGAAGGGAAACAGAATGAATGTCTTTGGTATACTCGCCCTCTGGTGGTACATGTTTTCATGACAGTAACAGGAAATATTCAAAATCTGCCTTACTTATTTTCATAGGTGGATCTGGAAAGGAATTCCCTAGTTGGCATCCAGGAACTAGTGATCTTCCATGAGGACTTAATGTGCATGTAGTTCCCAGCCAGAGGGGAAGCCTCAAGCTCTATCTTGCCAGAGACAGAGACTGGGTGCACTATTAGTCAGAGCCACACTATTGTCTCAAACATGTTATACTGCTTTTTAATGCTAGAGTTCAAACCAAGGATTATAATTAGTATCTGATTTTAAGGAGAACTTTTCTATTCTACCATGAGCTCACACACTCTTATTTAAATAGAAATACTTTAACCCTTTTTAAAAATATATATTTTATTGATTTTTAACAGAGAGGAAGAGAGAGGGATGGAGAGTTAGAAACATCGATGAGAGAGAAACATAGATCAGCTGCCTCCTGCAAATCCTTACTGGGGAAGTGTCTGAAACCAAGGTACATGCCCTTGACTAGAATTGAACCTGGGACCCTTCAATCCACAGGCCCTTGCTCTATCCACTGAGCCAAACAAGTTAGGGCTTAAATAGAATGACTTTAAATAAAGTCACTTGTTCTTTATGATTTGGACCATAAAAAGGGAAGAATAGAATTATTTTTTTGTAATTTGGACTAAAAATATTATCAGTGAGTTCTTATAAGAAAAATTAAACACAAACTAAACATCCCCAGAAATTGCTTACAATAATAGGTATCTGGAGAGGAGCAGTTCCCTTAGTCTTGTTAATCTCAGAACCAGAAAGGAAAAACCTCCCAAGAGATATTTTATGAGATTTAGAGTCAGGAAATCAAATATATATTTAGGCCTCCTTTGAGGGTTTCCTGCCTGGGCCCTCTCTACCCCAGCTACCTGAACACCTGCTGTCAAGTGTGTAAGTAACACAGGTTGTTTATGTCCCATAATGGACTTGAGAATACAAAAGCTAGAGCCAGACTTCCTGGGTTCATGTGCCAGAAGCACTACGTTTTGTTGTTGCTGTCCCTCATGCTTTATAAGTTGACAACAACTTTAGGAAGTAACTGCTATACATATAATCCCCTTCTTACAAGTGAGGAGACCTAGGCACAGAGACACTAAATGGTGTTTCTAAAATTACCTTATAGTAGAGACAGCTTCAGAAATAGATACTATGCTTGACTATTATGCTGTCACAACCTCAGATGTACTTGTTTTTCTATTACTCCACATACATGTGCCTGTTTGTTTGTATTTTTTTTTCCATTTTTCAATTACAGTTGACACTTAATATTCTATTAGCTTAAAGTATACAGAATAATGCAGAATCACTGCTTCCTATGCTATCTTGAACAAGTAATCTTAGGTGCTCTGAGCCTCGGTTTCTTCATCTATACAATGGGACTGTTGAGGATAAATAAAATACTCATAAGGTGTGTGAGGCTTGAACAAAGGAAGCAGTCCCATGCCTACTAGGTAGTATGAGGGTTAATACATGTAAGCTGTTCTTAATGGTCATACCAATATTGAAATGTATCAGAATCTATACATTTTTAAAATAGAAGTTGACAACCTTAAGGAACTATGATATTGATAATATCACATTTTACTTTGAAGAGATTCTTTTTTTTTTTTAATCCTCATCTGAGGATATTTTTTTCATTAATTTTTAGAGAGACTGGAGGGCAGGGGGAGAGACACAGAGAGAGAGAAACATCACTATGAGAGGGGCACATTGATTAGTTCCTTCCCACACACACTCCGACCAGGACCACCCAGGAATTGAGCCTGCAACAGAGGTATGTGCCCTTGACTGGAATCGAAACTGCTACCCTTCAGCCCATGGGCTGATCCTCTAACCACTGAGAAAACTGGCTGGGGCAGTTTGAAGAAATTCTTGGTAATTTTTTATTCTCTGATATGACAGAATCTTGATCATCTCCCAAAGTGCCATTATGTACAGAGTTCAAAATTTCAGAGGACCTTTATATAAAATGCTAGAGATGTTACAATCAGATTTTTTTCCTGGTCCTTGAGAAGTGGAAATAAAATGAGCTGAGGGCAGCTTAGTGAAATCATAAGTGAGATAATTGAGAACTGATTCAAAATTCTGAAATAACCACCCATGTGAAGGTCACCACTGCGGTCCCTTGGTTCCCACCTTACTTTAGATTCCCATAGATTTCTGCTTACACTTGGCACCATGATTTGCTGATGAAACAAAACCATGTGTTATTATCTTCTTTCCTTTAGTGTTGTTTCTTCATTCATTTACTCATGTACTCACTCATGGATTTATTCATCAAACATGCATTGAGTGTTTATTTTGTGCTAAGTGATGTGCCAAAGCTAGAGATACAAAAATGAATCAGACACACTCCCATCTGTAGCACAGCTCACAGTCTCAAGTAGGAAAGACACACCTACAAACCAGCATAATTGCTGTAATAGAATCAAGATGTTGAGGTGGCCCAAGCAAAGGAATGTTCACTTTGGTTCAGGAGGGCAAGTCAAAGAAAACTTAGTTGTCCCTGGAGTGTCTAAAAAATGACAGAATTGTCATTGAAGACTTTTTCCTTAGGAAAAAAACTATATTGTAGGAAGACAACAATGAATGTGTAGAGTCATAGAGGTATGAACCCATGTAGTGGGTTTAGAAAAGAACAGGCCATTCAGTAGATAAGAGAATAGGTTTTAGAGGTAGGGACTGGGCAGGGGCCAACAAAAGGACAGTATCATGGAGCTCGCACTAAGGGAGACACTAGGCTTGTATCAGGAGTGTAACAGACTCAGATATACACTTTACAGATATCTCAGTTGCTAACATTAAAGGGGACAATTGTTGGGAGAGAGGATAGAGTAGAACCACATAAATGTGCCAGAGAGGGAACTGCTGCAAAGGCCCACGTTTCAAGGGGGCTGATTTTAGACCATAGCAGTAGGATTGAAGGAAAGGATAGGAGGTAAAATCTACTGAGCATTGTTACTAGTTTAGAGGATTCAGGGAGAGGGAAATACCTTATGAGGAAGAATGTAATATTCCCTCTTCCCAGAGCATATAGTAATTAAGGGACAAGATTTGCCCTGGTTATGGCCTATGTAAACATTTGTGGACCTGTAATTTCTGACCCTTAGTTCAGTGTTTTTGTTTTGTTTTGTTTTGTTTGTTTGTTTTTGTCTCAGGCAGTGCCTTATTAGTCTTTTGGGAATCAGAACCCTTTAGAAAATCAGTTCACTAAACATCCCAAATATTTCAATGGTCCGGACCAGAAAAGCTGAGTAATAAAATGCTGACAATGTGACGTGTGGTGAAACTTACTGCTAAACCTAGTACCAGTTGTGAAAGCCTGCCTGTCACAGAGAGATGACTAACAATCGAGGGTGTCAGAGTCACACAAGAGGTGTTTTTGCATATTACATCTAATGCTATAGCAATGAGATAATCATTTAAGAAATCAACCAAATAATTTCAATAATGGACTAGATGCCATATGTGAGAATAACTTATGATAGGTTTTCTTAGAAATGAAAATGCTACCTTAAAGAATAGCACAGGTTTTAATTCATCTGACAATAATTAAAATGAACATTATCAATAATTTACAATATGCCAGGTAAGGTGTGAAATGTGTGATATACATTATTCATTTAATCCTCAAAACAACTCTTTGAGGTAGACAGTGTTATCTCATTCTACAAATGCTTAGCAAAATTGAATAGTTTTGTTGAGGTTATTCAATTCTATAAGATTCAAAACTGGGTTAGTCTTATCACTGGGAATAGCCTATTCAATATCTGAGAATAAGCTGAAATCATTATCATTGCCTCCAGTCTGTAGATAAGAAAAGGAATAAGTTTTCTTAAGACTAATACATTACAATTCTTTTCTATTCAGATGTCTAGGATATTTCGACGTTCTTCTGGAGCAGGTCGGTTTATCAAATCTCATGTCATCAAAATAAGGTAGGTAAACTTGGTTTGCAACTTCAACCCAGTAATTAAGAAGCATTGAACAAACACAGTTGCTCAACTCCCCTGAGCAAATTCTGTTCAGGGATACAAAGGTGTCATAAATCCTGAGCAGCCCAGCTTACACTTCCCAGCCATTTCCCAGTCACAGTAGATGTAGAGTGCCTTATGACAAGAGACAACGTTACTTACTGGATTAAAAATAAAGACACAGTCCAAGAGAAAAAAATACAGGAAGAGGAGGGATGGTGTTGCCAACATACCCTGCTCCTTAAGTGAGGGCTCAATGGAACTTTGTCCAGTTCTTTTTTACTATCCTCATTTTAAGCCTAGCCAACAATCAGCCTATGACTTTCTCTGCAATAAGGTTTTTCTTTAATGTCATTGCATTTCCTTTATTATTTTTAAAATTTTTTCAATGTGTTCATTTCTATACTGTGATGAAAGGCAATATCCAGTAATTGAACATACACTTGTCAGAGATTAAAATAAATGACTATAATGCATCCTGAATGTACTTCTTACATTATGTCTGAAAGCTTGGCATTTATTAGAATAATATAGCTTTTCTACACATTCTAATTAAAATTATTAATTTTTCTATAGATATCAATTGATATATAAATATATGTATTTGTAATACTTATGTGTCTGTTTTACTTCTTGATGGTAAAGTAACCACATATGGTTAAAGAGCTCATGCCTTTTCTTTTCTTCTCCCTCTCTGTATATTTGTTCCTTCCTTCTTTTCCTCCCTCCTTCTCTCTCTTCTTTCCTCCCTTTATTCTTTATCTATTTCCAATTAAATTCATTCTCAAAGTCAACAGAGGCTTTCTATACCTAACAAGTTAATATATTTGAAACTCCTATCAAAAGATTTCCTTTTATAACTGCTTCCTCTAATCATCTACTTATCAAACTTGTATTAACTGATCAACAACCACCCCCTCACTCCCCCCCCCGCAAATACCAATGGTTTAACACAATAAAGGTTTATTTCATTTTGGTGATTCAGTTCAAAGAGTCAGAAGCAGCAGCAGGGGATGAGGGTGCTGGAGAGGATGGTAGAACTGCCCCCTGAATCTTCTGTTTGGCAAATAAAGGAAGAGTGAAGGCATGGAAGAGAGTATGAGAGGTTTTCAGGGGCTGGGCCGGGAAGTGGGACACATTTCTGCCCACATTCCATTGTCTAGAATTTACTAGAGAGTTCCAATAAACTGCAAGAGAGGCTAGGAAATGAAATATAGATCTGTGTTCAAGAGACAAGGAATCTGGGTTTGGTGAGCACAGAGCATTCTCTTTTCACCACTACTGAAAAATTATGATGGTTACAATTTTGGCTCAAAACACCATAAAAAGCAAATTCTTTAAGTATATTTTAAGCATGACTTTATAAACATCTCCTTCTTCCACAACCTCTCCAGACTATGAGTTAAGTTAGGGGAGAGAACAATTTTTATCCAGCTATGTATCTTACCAGTATTTCTAGAAATAATGTAAAAATCTGATATACACATATCCATTGTGTACTTTTTTTTAGAAACATCTCTCTCATCGATGTTTCTAGAGAACTAGAGAGCTAGAAACATCGATGAGAGAGAATCATCGACCAGCTGCCTCTTGAACACCCACTTCTGGGGATGTGACCGCAACCAAGGTACATGCCCTTGACCGGAATTGAACCTGGGACCTTTCAGTCTGCAGACCGATGCTCTATCCACTGAGCCAAACCGGTTTCGGCTCCATTGTGTTCTTTAAATTTATTGTGAATCTTAATACCTAAAAGTTATTAATGATTAGAGAGCTATCTTTATTATTATCTCTATTTATATGCTTTTCTGTTCTTTAGTCCAGATGAAAATGGTGTGAACATTCTTATGGTGCTCATGTTTCGATACCCATCTACTAGTAGTACGGAATACATCAGGAAAAGAATTGAGAAGATTATATATCAAAGTATGAAGACAAAAGATATGCCTTTGACTATAAACAAACCATCAGTTACACTCACATGTAAGTCATTTTACCATCTTTATGATTCCCTTCCCTTGCAAACTTTCATAACACTGGCACATCCCCAGTGGGGGGGAGAGGGTGCAAGAGGCAACTGATCAATGTTTCTCTCTCATCAATATTTCTAACTTTCTATTCCTCTCCCTTCCTCTCTGTAAAAAAAAAAATATATATATATATATATATATATATATATATATATATATATATATATATTTTTTTTTTTTTTTTAAAGAGTGGGTATTATTTTTTTTATCAGTTTAAGGAAACTGAGACACAAAGAAAATGTAAGACATGAGACTAACTCCCAGAGGTCTTCACAGGTCAGTTCTGGGGGTTAGTTTCTGTAGGATCAAAGCAATTGACATCTTTATGAAGGTTAAGCCATGTAGGAAGAATCTTTGACATGAACTGTGAAGTGGTTCTTTTTAATATTTTTATTAATTTTTAGAGAGAAAGGAAAAGAAAAGGATAGAGAGATAGAAGCATCCCTGAGAGAGAAACAACATCCATCTGCTGCCACCACATGGCCCCTACTGAGGATCAAGCCTGCATGTGTCCTAACAAGAAATGAACCATTGGGGCTTGACACTCAACCACTGAGCAACATTAGCTGGGCTGAAGAGGTCCTTTACTTTACTTACAATTTCAAACAACGTTTAAAATTTATATCTTCATTAATGCCTTTCAGAACAAAATTAGGAAAGTTATCGTTTTTGTTTCCCCCAAAAGTAGATGAAAATTAAGTTTAAAAAGGTTATGAAACTTAAATTAAAGCTATCTAAAAGTTATTTGGAATCCTAGTTGAAAGGCATTTCTATTTTTTATGCCAATACATCCTTTATAATAAAACCCTAATATGCAAATCTACTGAACAGTGGAATGACCGGTTACGATGAAGCACACTGACAACCCAGGAGCTGTCCTCTGGTGGTCAGTGAGCTCCCACAGGGGTAACGCTGCTCAGCCAGAAGCCAGGCTAACAGCTAGTGAGCTCAGCAGTGGTGGCAGGAGCGTCTCCTGCCTCAGCTGCAGGTGGTGGTAAGGAGAGAAGGGTCCAGGACTGCAAGAGCCCCAGACTGCAAGAGGGATGTCTGACTGCCAGCTTAGGCCCAATCTCCTCCCACCCCCAGGGCACGATTTTCATGCATTGGATCTCTAATAATTAGATAAAATAATGTTTCAATAAGATTGTAAATGTCATTGTCAGGGACTTTGTCTTTTTATTTTCTTACTAGAGTCCTGGTGCACAAAATTTGTGTACATGTAGGGTCCTTATGCCTGGCTAGTGATCAGGGACAATCAGGGCCTTCCAGCTGCAGGCCAGGGCCTTTTTTTTCTGCATCGGCCCCTGGTGGCCAGTGCACATCATAGCGAGTGATCAAACTCCTGGTCTCCTGGTCGAACTCTTGAGGGGACACTTCACATATTAGCCTTTTAAATATATAGATCTTTCCCCAAACTCTAGCATATGCCTCACATGCCACAGTTGTCCCAGTTCTGTTCATTGTATCTCCTTAAGTATTTCCAAGTTCAGTTACTTCTGATTTAATACCAAAAAAATAAGGCTTGCCCTTTGAACCTGAACTACAGTAGCCATTTCCCCTCCCAGTAGCCATGAATTTAAGAAACACATAGTCTAAAATTAATTTTTACGTTGCCAGAAATTGGAAAACTCCTTTAAATACGTTTTGAGATGGAATCCCCACACACAGTCATGACAACTTTTTAAAGAGCCCTAGCCAGTTTGGCTCAGTGGATAGAGCGTCAGCCTGCAGACTGAGGGTCCCAGGTTTGATTCCAGTCAAGGGCACATGCCTGGGTTATGGGCTCAATCCTCAGTAGGGGGCATGCAGGAGGCATCTGATCAATGATTCTCTCTCATCATTGATTTTCTATCTCTCTCTCCCTCTTCATACCTCTCTGAAATAAATAAGAAATATATTTTTTAAAAAGATGTAATTAGAAATAATGAGGAGTATGACATCCACTTTTATTATCAATTAATTTTATCAATAAAACATGGTATTTTCAAGGACTCTATAAATGACGATTTGAAACTAAATCTAAATTTTCTGATAATATAATCACCTTTAATGCATGATCATGTAGGCTAAAGTAAAATATCTATCTTAGAAGAGAAGTTAAACTGTAGAGTTTCTCATTTTACAATTTAAAAAAATTTCAGACTTCTTGGTCATGTACACTGAATTTTCATTACACAGGTTGTTTTAATATCAAAATAACTATTCTATGACCATACTCAATAACCAAAATTTTGTTGCATACATTTTTACCTGACATATTCATATCTCTTGTTAAATAGAGAGAAGTGAAACTTCCAGAAAACCTCTAGTAGGATTTGGGACTCAGATCCTTCTTTTGCAAAAGTCAGCATTCCTGAGCAACTTATTAGATACTTCTTTATTTTTTCTTTTTCAAATAGCCAAAACAAAACAAACACCTAACCACCAAAAATTGAATGACTGAACTTAAATGAACACTAAGATACTTTTGAAGGAAAAAAGATCCCAGAGGGAGGCATAAAGTGAGGGAGACATGGTGGGGTCCATGAATTGGCTGGAATTGAGAGAGTTTCATGCCTCTAGTGCCTGCCACTGAGCTACAACTTTCCACCATATTCACCATGAGGGAGAACCGTCAGTGAGAGAAAACCATCAACCTATATTAAGTGAATTTCTACCCTTTGTAGACCAGGGCCTGCTATAGTGCCTACCAATTGTTACAGGAGTTGGAGATTGTTTCCTATAGTTATACTACTGGAACTCCTAAAGAAAGCAATCAGAGACATTGAATTTTACCATCCTTTCCTAATTTTCTAACTTTACTTTCTAATTTCTCAGCAAAAATCAAAACCAAAATGCTCTTTTTAAAAAAATTAAAATTATACATTTTGGTTTAAATCATAATAGAGGGATATTTATAACTTGGTTATAAAAAAATCTCATGCCTTCTTGAAATAGACATGTTTTGGGTAATAAGGATTTCTTATAGTGCCCATTTAAACAAAATTACATGATAATAGGAGCATATTCTCTTACTGAATCATGTTTTGTGTATTTCAGCTATTGACAACAAAAAGATGAGGAATCTTCTCAATAGCCGTAAGTTCCTAACCCCACAATTAACTGTCTCTTTCATAGTAAAGAAAATAAATAAAAGCCATAAAAAGTTAGTAAAATTTGGTGAGGTTTGTTCTTTTTTTCCATTGAGGTATAAACATAATATCATATTAGTTTCAGGTGGACAATGTAATGATTTGATATTCATATATATTGCAAAATAATCATTACAATAATAGCAAGCCTTTTGTTCATTTTATGTTTTTATAAATTGAAGACTTAGTTTTTATTATTATTTATTATTCTTAAGATTTTTAAGCTTACAAATTTAGATCAAATACAATTTTAAATTTTGTGACTTACAGAATATAATTTTAAAAATTACATGGTATTTTTTCATATTATAACATATCTCCACTAATAAAAGAGTAAGGTGCAAATTGACCATACCTTCATGACACCCACCAGCCAATCAGGAGTGAGTATGCAAATTAACCCAACAAAGATGGTGAGTTGATTTGCATATGCAGGTACTGAGTTGCCAAGGGCAGGGTGGGATGCATGCATTCTGCACTGCCGCTGGCTGCTCTTCTAAACTCATTTTACAAAGCCAGCATATTTGAAATTATTTGAATTTCAAAACCATATAAAGACACCACAAAAAACGAAAACTATAGGCCAATATTCTTGATGAACATGGATGCTAAAATCCTCAACAAAATATTATCAAACTAATATCCAGCAATACATGTAAAAGATCATATATCATGATCAAGTGGGAATAAAAGGTTGATACAATATCTTCAAATCAAAAACATGATACACCATATAAGCAAAATGAAGGATAAAAAAACTCATGATCATTTCAATGGATGCAGAAAACATTTATGATAAAAACTCTCAGCAAAGAGGTAATAAAGGGACTATACCTCTGCAAAATACAGGTCAAATATGACAAACCCACAGCCAACATCATATACAATAGGCAAAAACTTACAAGAATTTTCCTTAAGATTGAGAACAAGACAGGGATGCCTGCTTTCACCATTTTATTCAACATAGCACTGGAAGTCCAAGTCACAGCATCAAATTCAAAAGTTTTTGCACAGCAAAGGAAACCTAATCATTAACAAAATGAAAAGACAATGCACACATTTGCCAAAGATACATCTGATAAGGGATTATCGAATACTATCCAAAATTTATAAAGAACTTATAAAACTCAACACACACACACACAGTCCAATAAAAAAAAAATGGACATAGGACCTGAATAGACATTTTTACAGTGAGGACATACACATAGCCAATAGACATTAAAAGATGCTTAATGTCACCAGTCATTAGAGAAATGCAAATTATAACCACAATTAGATATCACCTCACACCTATCAGACTGCCTATCATAAATAAATCAACAAACAACAATTGTTGGTGAGGATGTGGAGAAAAGGGAATTCTCGTGCACTTTGGTGGGAATGCAGATCGGTGCAGGCACTGTGGAAAATAGTGTGGAGTTACATAAAAAAATAAAAATAAAAAATGGAACTGCCTATGACCCACCAGTTCCACTTCTGGGATTATATCTGAAGAAACCTGAAACACTAATTCAAATGAATATATGCACCCTTATGTTCTCTGCAGTGCTATTTGCAATATTTAATATTTGGAAGCAATCCAAGTGTCCATCTGTAGATGATGGATAAAAATGCTATAGTACATTTACACCATGGAATACAATGCAGCTATAAAAAACAAGGAAATCTTAATCTTTCTGACAGCTTGGGTGGAGAGCATGATGGTAAATAAAATCATCCAGTCAGGGAAAACAAAAACCATATGTATGAGTTTCTCATATTTAGAATCTAATGAACAAAAAACTAACAAACCAAAGAGAAATAGATTTATAGAGAAAAAGATTGACAGCTATTGTTTGTGGAAGAGGGTGGGGGTGGTTGTTGCAGGGTTGGTGAAAAAGATGAAGGGAGTAAGCAATAAATAAATAATTAAATAAATAAATAAATAAATACACAAACTTATAGGCACAGACAACAGCATGGTGATTACCAGAGAGGAAAGGGAGTGGAGGTAGATAGAAAAAGATAAAGGGAAGTAATGGTGATGAATGAAGGAACTTTATTTGATGTGGTAAACACATACTACAATATATAGATGATATATTATAGAAGTGTATACCTGAAAACTATATAATTTTATCAACCAATGTCTCCCCAATAAATTCAATTAAAGATAAAAGGGACAAGAACTATATGATTTCACTCATATGTGGAGTATAATAAAACAGAAAGCCACAAATTAACAACCTAAACAAACAAATTCATAGACACAGATAATAGAAAGGTAGTTATCAGGAAAAGAAGGTGGGGGAGGATGAACAGGATAAAGCAGGTCATATTTATGGTGACAGAAGGAGATGAGACTTTGGGTGGTGAGCACACAATGCAATATTCAGATGTATTATAGAATTGTACACTTGAAACTTATATAATGTTATTAACAAGTGTTAGCCCAATAAACTTAATTTACAAAGTAGCCTTTCAATTTTTAGAAAACTAAAAAAGGCATTATTGTTTAAATTATGGGTTTTGCAAAGACAAAATGTAGATTCATGTCAAGGGAAAATCATGACTTATATTATTGGCCTCTCTCTTAGGAGAAAAAATACAAACTTTAATGTGGATCCTCTTTGATTTTATATCTAATGATCACTACCAATTGGATGAATTCCAGCAATTTATGTTCTTTCTCTAAGAATGAGTTTCTTATCAGAAAAGTGTTTTTGTTGTAAATGAATCTAAAACACTTAGGAGAAGATATATACATTCTTTTTTTAGTTTTTAATTAAATTTATTGGGATGACACTGGTTAATAAAATTACTTATACTGTATTGTTGATGCTCAATAAATTATCTACCTATTTATTTATCTATACAATGTATACTTTATATAGAGAGACAGAGGTTGATCCTGAATTGGATGCCTTGAAATATTAGTAAATATTTCTTTTGAACCTCAGTAGAACCCCTACCAATAACCTCAGAAACTGAGTGCTAGGAATGGGTTAAAGAGTGGCAGGTACAATGGCTTGTCCAATCATCAGCACCCAATGCAAGTTGGGATACGTGTGTGCCCCCCCCCCCTCGCTCCACTTTCATGAAAACAAGCTAATGTATATTTCTGTGACAGGCTGTGGAATAAGGATGACATCTTCAAACATGCCGTTACCAGCATACACTTCTACGGAAAGAATTGTCCAAGGAAGGGAAACAGCTATGGAAGGGGAATGGCCATGGCAAGCCAGCCTCCAGCTCAAAGGGGCAGGCCATCAGTGTGGAGCCAGCCTCATCAGTAACACGTGGCTGCTCACAGCTGCTCACTGCTTCCGCAAGTAAGTTCCCAGGCCTGTTGTGGGCCTCCTTTACTGAGTTACCAGTTGGCATCTATGGATTCAGTGCTTAGAAAGAGTCTAATCTCACCAGTTTATCTTCTGCTCTATGTGGATGGACCCTCCTCGATCCCCTGACAATACAGGAAAAGACATGGAGAGAACCACAAGAGTGATATAAACTGAATATCATAGATATTTAGATCAGGGAGAGGAAATGAACATAATCAGGGCATAGAGCAAGCATCATTATGCCCTGATTATGTTCATTTCCTCTCCCTGATCTAAATATCTATGATATTCAGTTTATATCACTCTTGTGGTTCTCTCCATGTCTTTTCCTGTATTATCATGACATTAGTAGTATTATCTTTCCTACTATATCATAAGTTATTTTAGTGTAAAGACTGATTATTATACATGTAACATGATTAAGCTTTTTCATGTAAGCAAGGAGAAAATTCAGCTACTTCTGTGTGTTTTCCCCCAATTCTTCTATCCCACTCTCACTTTATAAATAAGATCAAATGAAAGGTGTCACCCTTGAAACTCCCCTTCGAACTGCATCACCTAAGAACTCCTGTGAGTGGTGTGGACCAGAGAGGTGTATGGAAGACGGGAGAGTCCTGCCACCCTGTCTCTCTGACTTCACAGTATGGAAGACGGGCCTGATAGGGCCCACCGAGAGCAGTCTGCTTGACCTTTCACAGATGTAGCTCTTAAAGTGCAGCTATGGCAGTTCATGTAACAGATATTCACAGGCCCACTGTAGCCCCAGGTGACCAGGGACACACCTTCTTCATCCCTGAATTTTCACCAACAGGGAACAGAAAGTTTTTCCTTTTAAACTCTCAAAAGATAAAAGTTCTGAATAAAGCCCTGGCCAGTGGCACTGTTCACACATCCTTTCAAGAAAACTATCTTTGGTGAGTTGAGGAGGCTTTTAACCATCCTTCAAAGGATAGTACCCAAAGGGTTCCAAGGTACCTACACCTCTTTTAAAAATAGGGTAGATGTGTAATAGGAATGACCTAATGAACTTAAGGTAACTGTCTGTCATTCTCTCATGAGAGAAGAGAAAAGGGACTCATTTATATTTACAAAATAACTAGCACCAAGTCTTAGGTAAACTTGAGTGTCACTAATTTTTTAAGGCTTTCTGATTTTTTGTTCACATAGTGCTCCAATCTTTGTACTTGTTTTGGGGAATATCATTTATTTTTGTTTATAATTGATCTCTATAATTTATATACATTGAAAATAAACCCAGATGTCAATTTATTGATTTTTAATGAAGAATACAAGCTATAGTGAGTGAGATCCATATTTCAGTAGGTCCAGTGTAGATGCTGTGTGCTAAAAGACCCAACTGGGAATTGGCCATTAAGTTTGGTAAAATAGAAATAACTGGTGAGCACTGGATTCAGTGAGTTTAGATGCCACTTTCAAGGAATTTTTAAATAAATGGGAACAGAAATGTGACAAGTGACCATAGGTATAGACTCATAGGAAGGATTTCCTAACATATAAATGATGGCATATTTTATTCTGGTAATAATCTAAAAGAGTTGGGAAATGTAATGATCCTGAAAAGGGTTCAATTTGGGGAGTGATACTAATTTCATGTAATTGCACAATGACATATACTGTTGTGAAGGAAAACCACAGGGTTCCTTATCTGAAGTGTTTTTAAATTTTATGTTCCACATCCCCCCCTCCCCCCCCCCCGAAACAGTGTATTATTTTAAAATCATGCCTATAAAAAAGGAGCCCCGTCTTTGTGAAATAGTGTGGGTGGAGAAAAGGTTTTGATAGGATGGCGTGAGACCTGGACGGACTCTCTCTCTCTCTCTCTCTCTCTCTCTCTCTCTCTCTCTCTCTCTCTCTCTCAGCAGCTGGCTATGTCCCTCCCCTGGATAAGTCATTTAACTTGAGGCTCAGTGTCCTTATCCACAGCGTGTTAAACAGGGCCTATTACATCAGACTTCTTTTTTAGTTGACAGTGCATGAAGAGATGGGTTCTTGTTTTTCTTTTAATCTAACCAATTAGTTTACAAGCTCCTTGAGACTGAAATCACATATGTCTCGTATCTCCCAGAATTCTACTTTTCAAATAATTCTTCATCCCTAAGCTTTCAGCTTTGAATAAACACTTCCTTTAAAATATAAATAAGTAAGACAGCTTAGAGAGGAGCCCTCTGCGTCTCCCAGTCCCCACCCTTGGGCTCTGCCTGCTTATCCCTGGGGCAGTGCCTCATACTTTGAAAACCACTAATCTTTCAGGTTTTTATTCCACTGAAACATTTATGATTCACCAACCCAGTAATCCCGCATGTACAAGGAAATCCCCTTTTTGAATTCTCCTGTATGTAATTTCCTTATATACAATTTTTCTCTACAAAGAGAATTTCAAGCTTCTATATATTTCTTATATAGTTGTTCTTGATGGGGATAATTAGAAAAAGAGGGAACTGGGTTTTGGGGAAGAATGGGAGGTTAAAAAGATGGCAGTATTACATAGAAGTTGTTTGTGATGTAACTGAGGGAGAGAAAAGCATCTACCGGAAGAGAGAACCTCAAAAGTGGTAAGAGGGACTGACCAGGCCAGATCAAAGGGTGGTGAGAGCTCTCACAGCATGACTTTGAGTCAGGGCTGCTGAGTCCTTAAATATCCAGACAGGGTTTGGGCATAGGAGGAAAAACAATCCTGGATACACACAAGGGTTTGTATATATAAGAGACAAATTACACTTTGTTTCAAGGAAAACAGCAAGACCTGGTAAACAAGAGCAGAATGAGCCATAAGAATGGATGGGGTTTCTGAGACCGAGGGAAGATGCCTCTGAGCATGTATAATACCCAAAACAAATAAAAATTAACATCCAGACATTTCACTGAAATTATAGAAGACTGAGGATATAATGAACTTTTAATAAAAAAAAGTAAAGATCAGAAATTAATTGTATGGTACCCATTACTATTAATGAAGCATGAATATTCCATTTAGTTGCTGTGCTCTTTTAATTTTAGAGGAGGTAAAATATTTTAAGGGCTTTCATACTCTCACAGCATCAGCTTGTTTAGTCTCTTTTTTTTCAATAAGGCTTTCAATTGCAAATTCTCTTACCTTAGGGATTTTCAGGAGCATAATCCCAATAATTGGGGAGAAATACTATATATATATATATATATATATATATATATATATATATATATATATATATATATATACATATATATATACACACACATATACATATATATATATATATATATATATAATATTAAGTGTAATAAATTTTATCCTTTAATGTTTTACAGAAATAGAGACCCACATCAATGGATTGCTACTTTTGGTACAACTATTAAGCCACCCGCAGTGGAACGAAATGTGGGGAAAATCATCCTTCATGAAAATTACCATAAAGAAACAAATGAAAATGACATTGCCTTGGCTCAGCTTACCACCCGAGTTGAGTTTTCAAATGTAGTCCAGAGAGTTTGCCTCCCAGATTCATCTATAAAGTTGCCACCTAAAACAAGTGTATTTGTCACAGGGTTTGGATCCATAGTAGATGATGGTGAGTAACTCAAAATAATTTACCAGTACTAGTATGTCTTAAGCTCTAACAAGATGGCATAGGGAATCCTCTTTAGATTTTTCCTAAAAATAATATTGATGCTTCCAATGTATAATACATGATCCCAAGGAGATCAGGGTGGCTGTGGGTTAAAAAAGTAAAGGGTCCTGCCGAGACCGGTTTGGCTCAATGGATAGAGCGACGGCTTGGGACTGAAGGGTCCCGGGTTCGATTCCACTCAAGGGCATGTACCTTGGTTGCAGGCACATCCCCAGTAGGGGGTGTGCAAGAGGCAGCTGATCGATGACTCTCTCTCATCGATGTTTCTAACTCTCTATCTCTCTCCCTTCCTCCCTGTACAAAATCAATAAAATATATATTTTTTTAAAAAGTAAAAGGTCCTTATTTTTGAGGAGTTCACAATTAATTGAAGCAGTGGTAAGAAAGGGGAGAAGCTAATATGGAAGGAAAGAACAGAATATTTTATGTGCTATAAAATGAGACAAACTTTTATGGGAGTACAAGCGAGTAAATGATTCCAAATTGTATATTTCCCATGTGTAAACACTGCTAGTTAGCACATACTTCACACCACAATCTCTGTCTTTTCTTTTTGGTCTAAATTCTTTCTTGTGTTAATGAGGATTTATAGTATTAATAAATATAAAGTGCTTTGTGAATTTTCATTTTGGTTAGTTAATAGAATCTGCATTTCCCCCCCGCCCCCCGTATCCCACTTCTTAGGAGGTTTAAAAAATATCAATTCTAAAATTTTCCACTTTAAAGAGAAAAAGTAATTATGCCAGGCTAGTGGCTATGTGATTTAGTATTGACCTATGAACCATGGAGGCCATGGTTCAATTCCTGGTCAGGTTCAGGGCATGTGCATGGGGTTGCAGGTTTAATCACTGGTTGGGAGGGCATGTGGGAAGCAGCCAATCGAAGATGCTCTCTTATCATTGATGTTTCTATCTCTCTCTCCCTCTCCCTTCTTCTCTGAAACCAATAAAATATATTTAAAAAATAGATTAATTAAATATTTTAAAGTGGGAAATAAGAACTGTTTGAAGTTATATCAAGGATATCCAGAAGAAACTAGGAGAAAAATGTGAATATATCGATATATTAACCGGACTTTTGTTTATTTTTTTGACAGAGTTGATTGTGCATAAGATAGTGTGTGTGAGTACGTGTGTGTGTGTGTGTATATATATAATATATTATTGCATGTGGTTGTAAGGGTGCCAATAGCTTATGCACTATTAACTATTAGGATATAATTTTGTATTGTATATGTTTATGGTCCTTTGAATGTAAACATTTATGAAACAAAAGAAAATTAGGCAATAATTAATATTAATAAAATAATATTATGCTTTTGCTCGTAGGGCTTTGTCTTCCATGTCTTAGATACAACTATATTTAAGAGTGTGTTTTTTGTTTGTTTGTTTATTTGTGTAATAGGACCCACACAAAATAAACTTCGGCAAGCCAGGGTGGAAACCATAAGCAGTAATGTATGTAACAGAAAGGATGTGTATGATGGTATGATCACTTCAGGAATGTTATGTGCTGGATTCATGGAAGGAAAAGTAGATGCATGTAAAGTAAGTCCAAAGTCAGGTCAAAACATTAAAAGGAAAGTTTCTATTAGCTATTTCTAAATTTGGCATATATTTCACTTGAGATTTAAAAAAATGCATTTATTTCACTAAGGAGTCAGTTTATTTAATAATCATAATAATAAACATTATGATATTGAATGTTTACTGCGTGTCAACCAAAATGCTTAGCACTTTTTATACATTATTTTACTTAATATGATATTGAACCAGTACTATAATTATATTATAAACTAGAGGCCTAGTGCATAAAATTCATATATGGGGGGCAGGTCCCCTCAGCCTGGCCTGCACCCTTGTGCAATCCAGGACCCTTGGGGGATGTCTGACTGCTGGTTTAGGCACAATCCTGCAGGGATCCTTTTGCGATCAGGCCTAAACTGGAAGTCAGACATCCCTCTCACAATCTGGAACCGCTGCCTCCTAAATGCTCACCTGCCTGTCTACCTGATCACCCCTAACCACTTTGCCTGCCAGCCTGATTGCCCCTAACCTCTCTGCCTGCTGGTCTCATCACCCCTAACCACTCGCCTGCCTGTCTGATCCCCGCTAACTGCTTACCTGCCTGCCTGATCACTTCTAACCACTCTGCCTGCCTACCTGATCACCCCTAACTGCTCGCCTGCTTGCCTGATCGCCCCTAACCACTCTGCCTGCCTGCCTGCCTGCCTGCCTCATTCCCATAACTGCTCGCCTGCTCATCTGATCACCCCTAACCTCTTCTTCCTCAGCCCCCACCACTGAGGTTTTGTCCAAAAGGAAATCCAGAAGGTAGTTCAGCTGTCTGGTCTAAGTAGCATATTATGCTTTTATTATTATAGGCTAGGGGCCCAGTACATGAATTTATGCATCTTGAAAGGAACTGTGGCTGTGAGGCTGTGGGAGGCACAGGGGCAGGTCTTGGCCCATCTTCTGTGCCCCCACCTGGCCCCTCCCTCCACAGCCCCTGGTCGTCCCCTGTCTGCCTAATGCCTTACTCCCGCCATTGCTCCTATGTGCTGATGGTGCCAGCCCCACTCGTACCCGATGACAGTGTGGAGTGATTGGGGCCAGTGCCAACAGTGGGTATGAGTGGCAGGTGCTGCCCCAATCATTCCTCAGGAGCAGGGGGACGGGAAGAAGCCCTCATGGGTGATTGGAGCTAGCAGCATTTGTGAGCACTGGGCAGGAGCAAAGAATTTTCAGTAACCACCAGAGGCAATCGGTGCCTTGCCTTGGTCTGGCACCCCTACTCTCCTACTCCACCATCCTGCCATGATGATGCCTGCCATGTTCCATGCACACCCCCTGGTGGTCAGCACACATCATACCTGGTTATTCAGTTGTTTGGTTGTTCCCTCATTTGGTCTATTTGCATATTAGGGTTTTAGATAGATAGATAGATAGATAGATAGATAGATAGATAGATAGATAGATAGATAGATAGATAAATAGATCCCTTTATTCTGAACTGATGATTTTGTTTCCAAATTTTCAGAAAAAATAATAACCTTAAGAGGGGACTTTTTCCATCTTCCCGGCACCAGACATGCACACCTGCCTTCTTCTGAACCCATTTTATCCACCTTCAGTTTAGACCACATCCGAGGAGCTGCCTCTTCTCTAAGGCTGATTACTTCTCTCCTCAGGCTTCTCTTATTGGCATTTTGGAAAAGTTTCCACTAGCTATTATGTCCTCTCACTCTTTTCATAGTCCACATTTCTTTTGTCATTAGATTCTTCCCCATTCAGTTCTCTCAAGTTAGGAAAAAAACAAACAAACAACTCTTTCTTGGCTCATTATATACCCCGTCTTCTCTTTACCATCAAATATTTGGGAAACTATGTGCATTGTCTAATTTCTCAAACAATTTCTATATAGTTTATGTTCTATCTAGTTATATCTAGTTCTATATAGTTTATGTTCTATCTATATAGTTCATGAAAAATAGCTCTTCTTGAGGTTTTCAATGATGAAACAATGACCTCCAACTAATGATTTTTCTTCTTAAACCTCTCAACAACATTTAACAATGCTAACTAATCCCTCTTTTCTGACATAATGTCTTCCCTTGGCTTGGAATGATTTTCATCCTACATTTCTGTCTGTTCCTTCTCTGTATCCTTTAGACATTAAATTTTGGTCTATTTTATACCTGTTCCTCTTTTTACACTATACTTTCTCTGTAGAAGATCTATTTATTTTTCCACCATAGCTTCATTATCATCTTTTCACTTTTAGGTCCCCAACCTCCCCTTTGATCTCCAGACTCATATATTTCCTCAACTTCCATTTCTATCTCCAGACTTACACAAGGGTGGGCCAAAAAAGTAGGTTGGTAGTTGTGAGTACATGAGAGTTTATTCTTGTATTATTATCTATTATTTATTTATATTGTTTGTCTTATTATTCTTTTTGTTATTATTTATATCCTTATTTATGATTTATCTTTTAGGTAATAATGGCTGGTAATTTAACCAATGACCAATGAAAGTTGATACTTAAATAGTACCTACTTTTGCCCAACCCTGTAGATTCTACTCCACATGGATATTTCAAAGGCATCTTATTTAAAATGTTGCACTTGATTCTGCTCTTATTCCCCTCTCCATTTGCTCTTTTCCTATGCTTTGTACCTCTGTGAATGGCATCACCTTTCATTCTGTTAAACAAGCCATTCCAACTTCCCTTATCCTTTATCTATGCATAAATACTAACCTTTTACTAAATATTTTATGCACATGCTACTAAACATGCATAAAATATCTAATCAAACTAGAAAAAAAAAAAAAATAATCCAAGGATGCTGAACCAGAAATAATGTATCCACTCCATATGAATGTTAGACTTTCTAGAAAACAATGTACTTCAAAGTTTAGCATTTTCTTTATACCAATTTTCTCTCCTCCCCACTGTAGAAAAGAGATGTTGTAATGATCTTCCTACCAATTAGAGTTAACAATTTTAAATATGCTTTTGTTTTTTTCTCCAGGGTGATTCTGGTGGGCCTCTGGTTTATGATAATCATGACATCTGGTACCTTATTGGTATAGTAAGTTGGGGACAATCATGTGCTCTTCCGAAAAAACCTGGGGTCTACACGAGAGTGACTCAGTATCGAAACTGGATTGCCTCAAAGACTGGTATCTAGTGTGAATTGTCCTTGAATTACATCCATGGCACACAAAGCTGAAACTCCTGCATATTGTATATTATTTATATTCATGTGGTTTGGATCAGTGCTTTTGCTGGGGGTCTCAGACCAATCCTTTGTGACTGTACTCTCTACTCTAAGGGAAGAAGACACAGCAAATGACAGGTAGCACTGATTCTTTGCTCACAAGGGAAACTATGTTACTTATTAACAAGATGAATACTTATAAATGGTTTTCCTCAATGGAAGATGAGGACCATCATTTTCTACCGGATATGAAGAGCTTCCAGGGCTGCCAAAATCTTACCTCATATAACACCTGGAGGACTTGGGATTCTTCTAGCAAAGCAAGTCAAACAACAGAATTCCCTGAGGACTCAGGGCTTCAATATTCTGGCACTGATGATTGGATTCTCAATGGCCGGAATGGAGAAGCAGGATTTGCAATATAACTTGAACTCTAACCTGGGTTTATAAATTACAATAGAGAATTATCATTAACCACAAGAGTTGTCATTTAAAAAATGTTAAAAGGTATCTGAACTTGCTGTTAACATTATTTTAAAGACAAAAACACTAACTTCAGGAATGCATATTATATTGTTAATAAGCAATTCTGATTTATTTTTTAACAGCATCATCAGTCAACATTAGGCCAGAAAGGAGAATAAAATAGACTCTTGAGAACATTTTCCCATCAATACAGGAAGATAAAAAGAACTGATGCAACCTAGGCTAGCAGAATTGGTTTCAAATTGTTCATAATAGGACAAACACTCCAGATTTTTTATGGAATGAACTATCCCCTTATTTATTTAGAAATATCTACATCAATGTATTGTAACTGATGCTCTTATAAGTCTTCAGCCATAGGATAAGTCATATGTCCATCAGCATGTCAAGTTGAGAGAGTTGATTTGTGCGAAGCCCTTAGGACAGTGCCTGGTATATATATCATGCACTATAAAAATGTTTGCTATAATAGAAGGGAATACTTCTCTGAGTTTTAAGATAAATGAACCTAAGTTGTCAAATGAGTAAATGACTTTGAGGCTTAAATCAGCCCAAAATCTAATGGGGGAGAGCATAGGCTTTGGAATTAGGCTGCCTGAGCTTGAATATTGGCTGTGCCTCATATGAGCTGTTTTTCATTATACAGGTTTCTTAACATCATTGTGCATTAGCACTCTCATCTTTATGGTGGGAGTAAAAATGGTGCTTAATCATATGATTGTTATGAGAATTAAATGCACTACTCTGAGTAAAGAACACTCTCGGAATAGTATCTGCACACAGTAGGCCAATGATATGGACTGCTATGAATTAGTGTGCCTTGGGCTCAATAAAACAATATACTTTTAAAAACCTGTCCCTTGCTTCTTTAAAGTCATGTAATCAATTTCGGAATACTTTAAATCACATTGTAAAAAATTCGGTGATGCTAGATTTTCAAAAATGCTCTTTATGTCTAATATATTTTAAACTCTGTCTACAAGCAGACATCGTTCAAAATATAGGATGCATAGCCACCTGGCTTCTGGGTCATGATGACAGTGATGCAGCTGCATTCGTTTTCAGGCCGCGATGCAAGAACTCAAGTGCTACATGTGCTGCCCTGATTTATCAGGGGAACATTCAGCCTCTCTGTTTCTTTAATGACTGAAAGTTTTGTTAATTTATGTGTATGTGTTTATATGTAATATATGTAAACAAGGTGCTTCTAACTGAAAAAAATTTCATAGTTATTTATGCCTTGATATTAAGATATATCATGAACAGAAAAGGATTATCCGTAGATGCTTTTCTTTTAAAAAGAAACTGATACCAAGTTTCTGAGTTGATGACTACTAATAACTAAATATCAATAGAAAAAGCAAAGTGAAAACTTAAATCTTTACACTTCTTTCTATACGTAGAGAAACACCCAGAGTTTCCTGGAGAATATCTAGCATATTCATACTTTTTTATATTAATGCTAAACACAGCCTTTGGTAGAAACAGGAAAACAAATCTGCCTATAGAAAGAATTATTTTCTACTATTAATATGTAAGTTCTGCTACAATGGATATATGCTGTTGTGTAACTATATTTATATTTCAGAAGACTGTGATAACTTTTTGCATATGTGTCTGTGAAACTATATATACTGATTTAAATAATTGTATATTCAATTCAATTCAATGACATTTTGACACAAATGAGAGGAATAAATCCAAAAATCCACAAAAAAACTTAAGAAAGAGAAAAGTGAATTTTAAAACAGAATGTATATGTATATTTCTAGTTTGACTAAGCCTGACCTATTGTATGGTGTTATAGTAATTACACAATAATAGCTTTTTCTCAGGTTTTCCATCTACCAAATGGGACATACATTAAGCTAGCTACCTCTTGGCATTATTGTAAGGCTTTCCTGTTGAATAATAAAGTTGAAAAGTCAAAGAATGCTTAAAACTTGCTCAAAAAAGTACAAAATATATTACTGTAGACCTATCAGTGCAGATGCTGCTGCAAATGCTCTAAGATTGTAAAGAAGTTTTGTTTTTGTTTTTTTTATAGTGTCAGCATTTTTATTTATCAATCCTCTTGCTTTGTGAGTTTTGCAAATATATTGTGGTTAAAAACACAAAAAACCTGGGCTTTGCCTCTTATGCTGTGAATGCTCTAATAATATTCACATATTTTAATAGAAAACAAAAACGTTTTAATTTGTCTGACTCCTTGTTTTAAAAGACAGGTCAAATTCATTAGGCAGACAGTAAACACTATAGCACATAATCTCTGTGGGATCCTGATGGAATGTTGGGTGCCATGAGAAAGAACTAAAGGTTCATTTTTAATGCTAGATAGAACAAGATTGAAGCAAAATTTTTACAAACATTTAATCATATTCTCTCAGTGAAATCTTCATGATTCAACAATAAGAACAAAAACATATTAACAGGAAGCTACCCTTTTGAGAATAAAGTGGTGGCTTTGTTAGTACATTTACTTGATGAGAGGAAATATGTGGGAGGCATTCCTTCATGCAATCATGGAAATGGAAAATAAACTTGTTACAAACTATTGAAACAAAAGCTAGAATTATAGCTGTCAAAACCTGGAAGGACCTAAGAGATTATCTACAGGAATGGTCACACCACTTCTTTTGACTGATGTAAAATCAAAGCCAAGAGAATTTTTCCAAGTTATACCATAGTCATAGCCAGTGTAGAAACTTAATCCAGGAGACACTTGTGTCCAGTCTAACTCTCTATCACTCTAATCCAAGTTATTCAGGTTCATTAGCCAGGAAAACTGCAGTTCTAGAAGTCACTGGAATTAAATGTTTGTTACTAAACCAACATTTCTTCTTGTAAAACATGAGGTAAACTGGTGTTCAGCAAAGCATATCAATGGACAAAACCAGTTTTACAATTTAGACAACACCACAATACTATAGCCACCTACCCTGAAGGAAATGGAGGATAATTTGAATGTAGGAAAGCTGCAGAGTCAATTAAATTCACAGGTCAGGACACTCCATGCTTTTGTAAATGCTTACAAAGAAACTTCTTTCACAGGTTTCAATATTTTCCTTGCCCGAAAGTTTTAACTATGACTAATAGGAAATTAGAGAAACGCAATCACATCACACAATTTAAAAGATAAATATTCCTTCGCTCTAAATTGTTCTCAGTCTGCCAAATGGAAACTTAATTTATCAGCCTCCTGATGTTGTGAGGCTTTTCTGCTAATTAATAAAGAACAAAAGCCAGAGAAGGCTTTAAACCCATTTCAAAGTGCAAAGTGTATAGCTTTAAACTCAGCTGATGCTGCACATGCACTCAGATTGTCATTAAGTTTTCATAGGGATGGTTATTTTCAATGATCCATAGTGTATTTTTCAAATACCACTGTTCTGTTGAAATTATATTTAGCTTTTTCTTGAAAAAAAAATAATATTAAATATAACTTGTGTGGTCAATATAAATTTATTTAAAAAGAAAAATGCCAGACAAATCAAATTAGTTTTATTCATTTGATAGCTTTAAGAATGAATATAATTCAAATTCATTTCATTTGAAGTATATTTTACTATAGCCTCTAGGAGAACTCTGTAATCGATCTACTAGGAACGTTTTTTTTTTTTTTTGTTTTTTTTTTTTTTTTTTTTTTTTTTTTTTTTTTTTGTTTTTTTTTTTCTGTTTTTACTAGGAACGTTTTTATAGCTATTCTGTAGCTGACAGTGGAAAATATCAAAAAGCAGTCCAAAGCAGCATTTAACATACATTTTAAAAACTCTGCTTAGTAATATTTTAACTTATATTCTGAATTATTAAAGGTTTTAAACTTAATTCACAAAGCTATGCTACCCAGATAGCATGGATTTCCTGTGAATTTTTATAGATTTTGTTCCCCAGTCAGAATTTGTGTCCCAACTTTTTCTTAAAAAATGTAGTCTTGTAGATAAAAAGATTATCCTGTTAGGTCTCCTTTCTTTCTACTTCTAAACTCTAAAAGATGTTTGGATGACCACCTTTTAAATATTTTCAGGAAGAGAAAATTAAATGCCTAGGATTGTCTTCCAAATGGTTTGAATGACTGCCCTTTGTCTGTATTTAAAACAAGTACCTTTGCTTATTCTCAAGCTTTATCCTCCTGTTTAGACATAGGTGGAAATTATAGAATTTGGGGTGAGCAACTCTGGCCTGGCAGGGGAATAATGTTTTAAATCCACTGTGTTTATCCTATAGGTAAGTGACAATCTTTAGGAAATGAGGATTAGGAGGTTGAATGAACAGTCTGGGGTGCAACATGAGCAAAAGGGGAGAGGAGAAATAAATAGAATCTAAAAGTAAAAAAGAAGTCATTGGAAAGACAAATATTAAGCCACAGCTACTTGCCAAAAGTTTCATAAAACATAGCTGGACCACAGAATAAAAATAATTGTTTTAAGTAAAGGAAATGTATGATTGATTTATCTCCATTAAAAACAAACAAAGAAACAACAGGAACATCATAATTAATACTTTTTCAGAAGGAGAGAGCACACATTTGTACCAAAACAATTATTTTATCTTCCAATCTTTGCATATACTCTGCATAATTTTATATAGTTGATATAATTACATATATAAAATTATGTATTTCTTTATCTGAGATTACATTAGATTTTTTTTCAATAACTATATGTTTTATATAATCATACTTTTTAATGACTACCTTTGACTTGATACATCAAATAGTTATGCTACATAGACTGTGACCAGACTAAGCTGATATCAACTAAATTTTATACCAGGGTCATAAACCATAAAGTATGGCACATCCCTTCCATGGTCCCTAAACCCTCTAGAACACATGTGTCAAACACAAGGCCCGCGGGCCAAATCCGTCCCGCCAGGCCTTGCAATGTGGCCCGCACCGCGCTGTCATCACTGCACTCCGCTGCGTTTCCATCACAATGACAGTTTATGACTGTTCAGTAAACCATTCGGCCTGCGATTTAGGCTGGATTTTAGATTTTGGCCCCTTCTCTGATTGAGTTCGACACCCCTACTCTAGAACCTCACAAAATGAAAAACTCCTGTTATCACCTATACTTTCCTGAACTTTACTTCTTTCCCACAATGACTATGGCTTCTTCTCCTCCTCGTACCGCTTTTTGTCTTCCCTATTGGTTTAACATGTCTCTACTATCTCTTTCTCAGCTGGTTCCACTGAATCCTCCTTGCTTCTTTTAATTCAACTGTTCCTATGCCCTCAATCTCTTCGCAGAATGCTCCCTCACCATCTTACTAAAGCCTGGATATCCAGATCTAAAACACACCTTCATTGCAGCCCTCTCAAGTGATTGCTCTTTCTCCCTGGTTCTAATATTGAGTCAGAATTCTTCTAACTCAAATAAAAGCTCCCAAGTACGTGTGTAGTCACCCAACAATGACTGTTGCACACTAGAATAAAATATATACTATTTTAGTACAAAGGCTCATGACAGTAGCTATACCACACATTGCCCCTCCTAATTACTGTCAATCTCTTGATCACTCCCCACATTTATTGAGGTACTAGTCACTTGCTCAAAATAGACCACTTGACCTAACTTTATGTTCATTGTGGTCAATTTCAACATCTAAGTGGATGAATCACACCTAACTTCAATTCTTTGAACTCATAAATGCAAATGACTTCAACTTCTATTCCACTCCCAAAATCTCCAGTCTGGACTGTTGAAAGAACCTCAAAATAATATTTCTTCTATAATCTTGATGCCCTCTAGTCCATTCTCCTGAACTTGTTTTAAATAACTCTAATTTATTCACCTCTTACAAAAGAGATACTTAATCTAGAGTCCATCAGGAAAAAAATTCATCTTTGTTTTCACTAACTTTTGAAAGAAATATATTATTTTATTACATTATAAAATAGGCAGAAAAAAATCCAGTAACATAAGCTGTATTACTGATTTTGTGGTCAAAAGAAATTATAGATATTTTTATTTTATTTAAAAGTTACATATGTATCAAAATATATTTACACTTACCACAACTTTTAAATTATGTTATTAGGTTTATTGCTATATGATATCCAATGTTAATAGAGAATCACACTTATTACTAAACCACAAACTTAAAAAAATATTTTATACCTATATTGCCATATGTTGATTTCTATATATTTCTACATATTCTGTTTTATTAATTAAAAACATCATTATAGAAGGGGCCTGTACTCTTCACCAAATAGCCACGGATGACCATGATCATGACACACACACTCACACACATACACAAATCAAGAGTCTTTGACCTTTAGGGTAAAGATAAAAATCTATTTTCTTGATGTACAAAAAATTTCATGATTATCCTTTTTCTGTTTCCATTTTCATCTCCTGCTTTGGGCTCTTCCCCTTTGCTATGGTTCATTTTAGTTTTAAAAAAAGTATTTCTAGCACTCTAAACACCATGTGAAGACTCATGCACAAAAAGATTCCATTGCTCTCATTGGCTCAGAGGATAGAGCACTGGCCTGCAGACTGAAGGGTCCCAGTTGATTCCAGTCAAGTGCATGTACCTTTGCTGTGGGCACATCATCAGTAGGGGATGTGCAGGAGGGAGCTGATCTATGTTTCTCATTGATGTTTCTACCTCTCTATTTCTCTCCCTCCCGCTCTTGATTTATTGATTTATTTAAAAATCAATAAAAAATATATATTTATATTTTAAAAAAAGATCCCATTGCATAGAAGCTCTTCTCTCCTTATCACTTTAGCAAGTTAGATTTAAAAAAAAAAAAAAAAGTGTAATTTTTTATTGATTTCAGAGAGGAGAGGGATTCCTGCACATTCCTGCATGGATTTCTTTGGGATCGAGCCTAAACAAGCAGTGAGACACCCCTCTTATAAGCTGGACTGCTAGCTCCTAAGAGCTCACCTGCCTGCCTGCCTGCTCCCCTGGCTGCCC